CTTCGTGTCACAGGTTCTTTATCACAGCAAAGACCAGGAGAGGGGAACGCTGGCCGAGCCTTTGCTCACCAGCCTGGACTGCTGACAAACAGAATGGTTTTTCTGTTAGCAGAGGGCGAGGTAAAGCTTCCAACCCGGCAAATGGAACCCCCTGTTTTCATGAATTGTCAATAAATTCTTTTGCAATAAGAATATGGTAAAGGTGTTTCAAGAAAAGACTATTTACACACGGAAGAGCAGGCTTTGCACCCTGCCTGGGGACAGCTGCCCCCCATCAGCTATGTGGCCGCTTGGGTGGGGGAAAGAGGCCCCCCTTTTTTACCAGTGGCAGACAGAGAGTTGGCTAGCCTGGCCCCTCACAGTGTGTCCTGTACTCGGCCTTGACAGCACACTAGAGCTGACCCTGTGGTGGGTGAACCAGCCCTACGGGAATGAGAGCTAGAGAGCTGACCCCGCCCCCCCCCATATGTCCCCTTCAGAGAGAGGCCCCGGCACAGAGCCTGGGCAAAACATTAGAAATGGCCCTGGTGGAATGAGCAAGGGGGGCCTGGATCCGTGGGCCCAAAAGCAGGAGAACTGGCCCTGCCCCTTACTGCAGGCTGCCTCACGTGAGCTAGCCAAGGCAATGCTCACCTCAGTGGGAGAATGGGAGAAAGCTGGTAGGCTGACCAGCCCAGCTACCACCCAGGCCCAGAACCAGGCTGTGAGGTGCTCCACCCCAACATCCACTGAATCCACAGATCCAAAACTGCAGGATCTCCACACACAGGTCACACAGGTTATCTAAAAGGAGCCCCAGTGAGGGCCCATTACTGATGGTGCAGCAGAAGCCAGAGGCCTCTGACCACAATGACTCACAGCAGTGAACACTTATCGGTAAGGATGGATGGACTAAAGGGCAAACCGTGACTCACTACAGCTTCCACCATGAGAGTCTTGTCTCTCTTCCTCTTCCTCTCCCTCCCTCCCTCTCTCTCTCACTCTGGCTTGGTTTTTGGCTTTTCTTTTTTCTTTTGTTTTGTTTTATAGAGGAGGATGCACTGGCAGAGGGCAGAGGCAGCAGGACCGGGAGATACGTGGGCTCTGGATACACGATGTGAAATCCACAAAGAGTCATTAAAAGTTGAGGGGGAAAAAAATAAAAGGAAGGCATATTTTGCCATTTACTATCATAAAGGCAACAAGCTGTTTTTGTTTTCCTTTTGCAAACAGCTTTGTTTGAAGGAGCGTCTCGGTTTCCTTTCAACTACGAACTTTCCTGTAGCCTCTGAGATGAAATAAGATTGCCAAAGACCAGGCTGATGCCTTCATCAAGGAAGGGGCATTTGTAGTGACAGCCTCTGGCATGTGTCAAGACATGTGCTTGGCAGTTTTTGTAAGTTACGGGTCCAGTGAGCGTCCCTGTCTCACTTCCCATGCGAAGAAGCAAGTGCTCCTGTGCTGCTAGAGGTGCTACGACATGGCCAAGGTCACAGGGACTCTAAATCAGCGCTCAAGCCTGCACCCGCTTCCCCAACCTGTGGCGACTTCAGAGAAGGGTAGCATTTCAGGCAAGAGGGCCTTTGCTGCCCTTTGAATCACACATAGGGAGCCACCTACTTTCCCTGTGCTGCTGGACTTGATCGTATCTGAGTCGTTAGTGCAGACTTCATTGTCAGATACTCAGAAACCCCGGGGAGCAGAGAGGAGTCAGTGGCAGCAACCAGCTTTTTACGGGAATCCCCGTATCTGTCCACCCTTCTAAGGATGAGGGTCACGGCTCCGCCCTGCCCCTTCCAACCTTCCATCTTAGTGCTGACACTGAGTCTTTGCACTAAATAAAGCACAGTTCACTCGGTCCTTCCTTAGCTGCAGAGGGACCGAGCACACACTCACCAGGAGCACGGCCCCAAGTCCAGAGCAGAGACAGGGATTTCCATTGTGTGCCCCAGCCCTCCAATCAAGCCCTTATTTTTTTTTTTCTCCCTCTCTTACTCAGATTCCCTCTCTCCTGCCTCTAATTCTTCACTCTGTGTCATTTGTCTTCACACACAAAGAAAAGAATGTCAGATGTGAAAAAGGAAAATGGGCGGTAATCATTACAGATGAGCCATTAAAAAATAAGCCGCCCGCTTGTTTATTTGCTCATACAAAGGGACCCCTTCTGCAGCAGAGAGGTGTGCATTCAGACACAATTCCCCATGATTACCCTTTGATTGGAGATTCTTTACCCAGCTTCTCTTGGGTACTTTGAGCATATAAACAAACTGCCTACAAGTACATCCTATCCATCAGACTCTCCTTCCTCTCGAATCTACTTTGCAGGCAAACATTGTCTCCCCGGTTAAAATGGCAAGAAAAGAAACTCACAGTTGAGGCAAATCTGGAAAAAAAAATCTTTGTCCATGAAATTTGTTCGAAGCCAAATGTATAGATGAAGAAAAACTCATCTAATGCAAGTAAAATTAAATTGTTAAATGGGGAGCAGAGGCATTAGGCTAGTATCAGCACCATTCGAAGCCAGGTTACTGAATGCTCCTAGTGTACCAAAGAGACAGCGAGCCAGGCTAAATGGACTGACACGGAGCTGACTTTTATCATGATTGAAGGGTCCTCACTCTGAAGCCCTGAATGAGGTGCAGGGGTCTGAGAACTCTTGGCCAAATCTGGAGATGTTTGTAACTATGTGGGATCTCTTCCCTGGCCCATGATCCACGGGTTGTAAAGGACAAGAAGATCCTCTCAGGTAATGGACAAGTTGGATAGAGATATAGCAGTGAGACCCTTGTGTTTTTGTAAACAAAGATGCACATTTGAAGTATTTTTCTTCGAAAGAGGCAAGGCAGGCCTGTGTGGAGAGGTAACAGCCAGATAGGAGAGGAAATGTAAAGAATAGCTGATTTAGACAATTGGATTTAGACAATTCCCCGGGACAAAGAATAAAGCATCTCAGCCACTTAATGAAGCAAAACTACTTCACATAAAGTCCAATGTGAGCATTCCTAGTCAGTGGGCAGCCTCCTCAGAGGCCATGTGGAAACTCAGGCTCCTTGCATCCTATGGCTCTGATTTCCGATGACTTGCAGTCCTCTGCTAGGAATCCCATATTTAAATGTTAGATAGAGGAGCATGTGAGAGAAAAATGACATGTCTATTCATATCCCTTCAGCACAAATTCAGTCACATAACCAATGCTCTATCTAGCAAGGGAAGCTGGGAAGTGTAGTCTTTATACTCAGAAGGGTGAAGAGCATGTAACACTGCTATACCACCAGCTTAACAGAAGCTACAATACTGCAGAGTATCTAGGATTGCAGAAAACAAAACAGTCTAGAAACTGGGAGAAGGCCCAATGTCATGGACGAAGGCCTCCTCAGATGACATGCAAGAAGGCAGGCTCATAAGAAATATAAAAGTGGTCAAGTGTGGTGGCACATGCCTTTGTCTCAGCCCTTGGTAGGCAGAGACGGGTAAATCTCTAACCATCCCAGGCTATCAGCCTGCAAAGTGAGACACTGTCTCAAAAACAAAACAAAAAAGAGCTGGAATAGCATTCAGACAGTAAGGCCCGTCACAGTCACATACAACCTCTGAGTGAGGCATAAAGGCAGGAGAGATTTTAGAGAGAATAATTGTAATTAATTGATTTATTTAGAGAGATTAACTATGAGTAGTGGGACCCTAACCACTGAACTAGCATTTACAAAGGCTAAGGGGAGGTGAGCAAGGCCTAGAAAGACTAAGGAGAAGGAAATGGGTTGCAGGGGATTCAGTCAAGAAAGACTGTGGCATCTGTTTTTCAAGCTATTGTAGAAGGTCAAGACTGGGTCTAGAAAAAGGCAGAGCCTATCAACGGGTCAGATGTGAGGAGAGACACATGCAAACCTGGAAAGGCCTGGCATGACTTATCCTCTGTGTCTTAATATGCCAGAGCGTGGTGGCACTCAACGTTAAGCCCAGTACTCAAGAGGCAGAGGAAAGCAGAGCTCTGTGAGTTTGAGGCCAGCCTGATCTACACAATGAGCTGCAGGCCAGCCAGGGTTACAAGTGAGACCCTTTCTCAAATAGAAATAACAATAAAAATGCTACCAATACCTCTTTCAGTTTCTTTCCCAAAAGTTTAAAATATATGTTTACTTATTTATCCTCCCTCCCTCTCCCTCCCCCTGCCCGGTGTGTGTGTGTGTGGGGGGGGGTAAGGTCCTTACCATCTCCACTGGAAATGTCCTCCATGATGAAGACATGTGCTCTGGGTTTCCTCAGTGGCTTGTGGAAAACACATGTCCTCTCCCAACTTCCTGGCCAGGGAGAGTCAGTGTGCCCACTGTAATTCTCCCTCTGCCCTGTGTGACCCGAATCACAACTCCAGAGGTGTCAGCTCCAAGAAAACCAACAGTTCCTGACTTGGATCTGCGCCCCATGGAAACATTATTTTCTTTCTTTGAGTAATGGCGGCAGGGACCACTCAGGAAAGCCAACACATCACTCTGTCAAGATGCCAGTATTCTGCATACATTTTATTCACAATTATACATATGGATGGAAAGGGATTTTTTTGTTCCCATGCTATAAAGTGTTGTTTAAAAAACAAGTGCTACCAATTAATAGCTAATAGCTACAATTGTAAACAGAAGTATGGAGTAAAAATAACATACAATTCCTTTGGTATGCCCAAGACCTTGACAATTTTTTCATTGTTATGAAACTGGAAGGGCTGCCATTTTCCTCTCTGTGGCATCTGCCCTTGCCACACATCTGTTTTCCTCGCTTTGTTCTTGACTCACTTGTTCATGTATGTAGCACACCCAAACCACAAAGCATTTCCAACTCCAACCTGCTGTCTACCTTCTGTTCATTGATACATTACAACAAAAGGGAGCAAAATTGAAACTCATGTGTGCATGTGTTCGAGGCCCCGGATAGTGACTGCCATGCTTTTCGCTCGCTGCCCATCAAGGTCATATACAGTGACTGTCAAGAATCCGCTCAGCTAGCAGCGCATCAGTGACTGAGCCAGTCAGTCAAAGACTAGACAAACAGAATTCGGGGATACTGTTTCCATTCGAGGTTTCCAGCTCGAATGGTTCCAGCTGACGGTACTCAAATGTCACACGGTTAATGTGTTTTCCACTGGAGACCATGCGCACCACAGCGTTGTCACAGCTGATCTTCATCTGGGCTATAATTAGAAGGCGGGAAAAATAATAAATATTTTCCAACAGGTTCTAGAACAGTGCTTCCACAGTGAAGGTGGGACAGGGCCATGAATGGCATCCTGCTCTCACATAATCAAATTCCTTCCAGTCAAAACAGCGTTTGTTTTTTTGACTATGCAATTAGTTGTAGGATCAGGAACTGGGTCCATCCTTTCTCTGCACATACGGGACACCATAAGACAAGAAAGCTGGCTAGAAAGAGGTGAAGTTCCTATTTGACCTTTGTCTTATCTTCCTGCCTGCAATGCTTAGGTGGCAAAGGGGTCAGTAGTGACCAATGAACTCTGCTCCATTGCTGGGCTTTCTAGGCAGGGACAGTTTAGGTGGCAGTTAGTGCAGAGAGGTGGGACTGTACCGTTTGGTGTTTGTGTGGACCAGAACATCCCGTTTATTGCACCCTAAGTCTAGATAATGACTCCATTTTACATGTAAATGAAAAGTCAGTTGCACAGAGTGGGTACACACCGAGTAGGCCAGCTTTTGTTTTATTGCTGTGGTTCTCAACCTTCCTAATGCCAGGACACTTTAGCACAGTTCTTCATGCTGTGGTGACCCTGGACCATAAAATTATTTTCAGTGATAACTGTAATTTTGCTATTATTATGCATCATAATGTAAATATCTAATATGCAGGATATCTAATATGCACCTGACCCCAAAGGGGTTGAGACCCTCAGGTTGAGAACCAATTTTTCTCTTGTTTACCTTTCTAACTGTCCTGGCATGGTATAGCTTTGAACATTCTCACTTGGCTTACAGCCAACAGTTTCGTTGTCTGAACGGGCACCTGACACCTGTTTATCACTTTTCCTGGCACAGGCAGCTCAGCTCACACTGAAAATCAGATTCTTTTCCTTAAAAATTACTCTCCATTTCTTTCTATAGCCACAGTCTGACGCCTGACACGTTTTATCTGCCCTATAATAATTCTCCCGGCTATTTTAATTTTCTCAGTCTCTCCCTGCAGCTTATTTCTCAATTCTAAGACATGCTACTGCTGTCACTGTATCACAGGTGCCTCGGGGACACATCCCTAGATGCAAAGTGAGCAACACAGCACGATAGTGTCAGGAGGGTGAAAGTCTGTTTGAAAGCATAAGTTTCAACCCTGACTTAAAAAGATATATACCCATATGAGAGAACCTAGATTAACTGCTGCCTGGAGGCCGTGTTTATCTCTCTTTAGATTATCTGGAAGCTTGTTTTTCTTTCTACTGTCACTCTGAGCTTGAATCTACACAATACACCCTGCTTCCTTTAGTCAATGTGCATACTGTTTGTTTTGACATAATTTCTTACAAAATTCAATTTAAAGGACAGGGTCTCTTAATGGTTCTATGGTTTTGGACTAAACTTAAAATACATGGGAATAGGGAGGATGCAAGAGAGGAAGAACGCTACATACCAGCTATGTAGCTCAGTGGCAAAGCATTGGCATATCTGTGAGCCCTGGATATGGTTCCCAGCACCACATAAATAAATGAATAGGAAATTTTGTAATGCAAAAAAGAAACCTAAACTAGCTAAAGCAAATCGGGAAGTTATCTGTAATTTAGACAAAGCATTTTTTTTTTTTTTTTTTTTTTTTTTTTTTTTGGCTTTCCTAGCACCCTTTGACCTAACTAACTCCTATAATTCAAGCAAAAAAAAAAGGCTTCAATTATCTAATTTTAAGGCACAAGCATTCTTCAATCCAATGTATCTTTTTACTCCTTTCAAATACATGTCCATAAAGGTTGTTTTCCACAACAGTGCTGGAACCGAGGAGACAGCAGGAGACCACCAGTAGGGCCACATGCAACAATTGCTTACATCAGAGTAAAGGCCTCTGTGTAAAAGATTCCTCTGGGCATGGTTGTGTGCACCTGTGATCCCAGCCCTCCAGAGGCTGAGATGGGAAGATGAAGCGTTCAGGAGGGTTCAGGGCCAGCCTGGGCTATTTACTGAGACCCTGTCTCCAAAAAAAAAAAAAAAAAAAAAAAAAAAAGGAACAAACATCTTTTCAGCTTCATCAAAGTGTGTTTAGACACCTTTAGGAAGAAATCTTTGCCCCAGTCAGTGACGTAGCTTGTCTTAGTCTAGTCTCCTCTGTCTCGTGCAGCCATTTCCATGCCCATGAATCTGAGGAGGGGGCAGAACATATCAGGAGGGCCTTCCTGCCTCCCTGTGTGCATGACTTCTCTTTCAGAGCAGTTTTGTTTACTGGGAGCTCAGAGAGAGAAAATACTGGTGGCGTGACCTTATTTTAACACCAGAACACTACTGATCCAAACAGCAGTCTGTTTTGCAACGTCATTACCCAGTAGGAGGAGGGTCTGTGGGGGTACCAGAGAAGGCGGCTCTGAGGGGAATGGTCTGTGCCATTTGTGCCATTTGTCACTGATATTCTTTGTCTTCGGTTTAAATTTGTCTCTTTCCAGGCTGCCAACGATCCTTGTGATCTAAAGCACAGGTATGCGGGTGACCTTTATAGAATTGTTCTATGGAACCTTCCCCAACCACATACAACTATTAGTTTGGTCATGAGGTTGGTTAGTGGTTCGGACTCCATCCTCACACACCTTAGCTTGAGCATCCTCATTGGTCCCAGGCAAGGCAGAGCTGGCCCCATCTGGCAGCTGCATCCTAAAGTAGCTTTGTATTAATGATGAGCACTTTGAGACTTCAGAATTTGCCTCTGGGTAGCAATGGTCTCTGAGAGGCTAGTACAGCTGTAGAAGGTGAGGAAACCCAGGGGCTTAGAGGTACTCTAGAAACCTTGCTGCTTTGATGTATATGTGCTATAAACTATCCAGCCCTGTACATATGTGTATACATATATATATACATATACATACATATATGCATATATGTATACATATATATGTATATATATACTGACACATGTACACATATATGAGAATATATCCTACACAGCTGGCAAAGTTATTTAGTTATTATTTCATTACGATATTGTCACCAATCACAGATACTTTTACCGTTTGAACTGTTGTTAGTCTCCTGAGGATAAAAGCAGACATCTTCCCTGAAGTGGAGAAACACTGTCTTTTTCGTAGTTTTCTGTAAATACACATCCTCACTGATCTATAATCTTCTCTTTTTATGCTGGTACTTAGGTGATACGGTCTGATACTATACACATACTCTAAGTAAAATGCTCACGTTGGCTTGACATATAAAACAACTTTTTTGGTAGAGTTTGTTTCTTTGTATATGGAAAATCGGGGAGTTTTCTTTAAGGGAGTCACCCTGACAGCTACATAAAACAGAAGAACAGTCTCACCAGAGCCATGAAAGGGGAAGCACAGGTCAGCTAAAGGCATCATCTTGGAGGGGTCCAATCCCGTGCCTCCCAGGAGCTCCACGAAGTCACCAGTTCCGCCACACCCAGCCGTGGGTTTCTAAGAGAATATAGCAGCGGACAGAGCAAGATGCAGGTAAACCTATTACAGAGGCCAAACTGAGGCAAGAGGGATGGGGTGTGCCCTTCAGCCTTCAGTCTCTGTGCCTTGGCTCAGACGCCAGAGACTCCAGAAATGGTTTAAGGTGAAGAACAGAAAACAAAGACAAACCAAACCAAACTCCCAAGAATCCGTTTTCAAAATCAGTTGGTTAGCCATTTTTTATTGTATGTGTGCATTTTAAGGGCTAAGTTCAATGACTGTAAAAATGAAACCGGGATTTGTAAGCTCAGAAGAAGATGTAGGAACACATCCTGAGCATACTTGAACACACGCCAGGTTACTGGGAACTCATAATGCACGCAGTCAGATTAAAGGAAGTCCAGTCGCCTGCAGTTTATAATTATATTATAATGTGTGTATTTAAATTCTGTGTTCTCCCTCAGCTTGCTTCCTTGCCTCCTGTTAATAAAGAAAATTTTATGTTCTTGGAACATGTCTCTTCTACAAGTCAGGATTTAGATGACTCATGGGTATATTTAAAAAAAGAATAGAACTGTGATTTGGGGCTCAGGTTAGCCAAACTTACCACTTACTCTTTCCTTCCAAGGAAAACAACTCCCTTTTGTGGTACTCAAAAGAGGAATTCATTCTAAGCCTCTGAAACCATCATTTCCTACTTCCCCAAACCCTCCCACTTTCTCAGCCAAACGACTTCTGTGCCTCACTCTATACACAGAAACTGTTCATTCTCAGTCCCAAATGTCACACTTGGCCCCTGCTTCACATGCCCAGGTTAGCCTTGAGTTCGTGTCAATCCTCCCAAATGCTGGGATTATAGGAGTGAGCTCCTGTACCTGCAAATGTGTTTTAAATTGTTAGTGAAATTTTCATCTCAGCTGCACGTGTTCACGCTGGACTGTCTCCCACCATTCATGTTGCCTGACACCCTGTTATTCATCCATGTGTACTCACTCATTAAGAGATCTATCGGTATGTGGCAGGTGGCCAGAAGTTAACCAGGTAAACCTTTACACATGGAAACCAAAATCTAAAAATGAGAACTTTAAACACCATCCATGCAGGTGCACGCATATCGACATTTAGAAGGACATTGGAATGTGATGAGAGCTGAAATTAAAACATTTTATAATGGCAACTGTTTGGCTGAGGAAAAGAGACAACAGGAACTGGTTGGTTTAGGGGACCTACTATGTGCATGGCTGTATGCTTAGGTACTTCAAACATAATTTCATTGCATGATGAAATAAAGATTTAATTAGGCCCATTGTGCACTGGTTTGGGAACTGAGAGCCAAATAAGCTATTTAGGAATGAAAGAACATAATTGCCTTCCCCATGAGTAGACAGGCGGAAGTTTCCACTTGGTGAGCGATGACATCTCCCTCCTGTAGGTAACCCTCTCAGGTTTTCTCATGAACAGTGGCAGAAAGTGCGCTGCACAGGGACCTGTCTAGGGTTCTGGGCCTCTCGGTAGCTCCTGCGTGTCTTTGGTAAAGTTTGAAGTTCCTATCATCACTTCCTAGACTTAGACCCTGTGCCAAAGGCGCACCCCAGCTTGTTGAACTTTTCGCTCTGCTCCTCCTTCTGCCCATGGCTGCTGCTCCTTCTGGTCTATTGCTCCGGTCAAATCTTAAGCATCTCCTTCTCAGAAGTTTCCTTTCCTGACCACATTGTCTCAGGCAGGTCTCTCTGCCTCCCCACTTTCCTGTTCCTGTCTGTCAAACCACTCTGCTGCATGTTCTGTGCAGACTTAGTGTGATTTGAAATGTGTGCTAATTTTGCCTGTCGTCCACTAGAAAATAGACTCCCTGTGAGCAGGACCTGCCCTGTCCACTCTACTTTTAGAATCTAGACTATTCCCTTATACAAAGGACTTTTATGTTATTATTATCATTATCATTGTGGTATTGGTGGTAGTATTAAAGGGAGGATAGTGCCATGTGGTCCAGGCTAGCCTGGCACAGGAGGTTCTCCCATCCCAGTCTCCCAGTGCTGGGATAACAAGTGTAAGTGGCCATACCTAGCTCTTAATACCCAGGCCACAAAAAAAAAAATTGATTTTAAAGGCGCTGATGCCTGGAACACAGTCGTCTCTAAAATGTTCAGGCGAATACCAAAATTATTCTTAGAGCTTCATTACCTAAAGCACACATCTCCCGATCCCTTCTATACGGTACACAAAGAATGGCATACCAGATGAACACTACCAGGCTGAACCCAAAACACTCAGGCATCCTTATCAAAGGACCATTCCTCCATCAAGGCCCAACAACAACAAAGAAGAGGCGAAGGCACACGACTCTGGGGCCTGGAGGAAGTTGGAGAGAAATGATTTTTCTCAGCCCTGTTCCTTATTTAGTTTTCACAAAGCTCTGTATGTCTGAGAACGCTGGCTGCCTCTAATGCCACCAAATGCGTGTGTTATTTTAACTTAGGCCTCTGAACAAAGAAAAGGAAATGAGTGTGACTCACAGAGAGTCACTATCTGTGCAAATAGATACAGTCAAGGCAGCATTCATTTTAAGGCACATACGGAAATTGATATGAAAGCAAGTTGGTAGGAATCTCACAGCTAATTTTTCTTTTTAGGCAAAAAAAAATATCGTATAACGTGCTCTTCAAAACTTTCCTGCTTATATCAAAATCCAATTTCATATTTGTGCCACCGTTAGCACTCTTTCACAGAGCAGTGCTGTCAATGAGAGAGACTTCCTTCGTATCAAAAGAAAATTCCAATAATCAGCAAAGCAGCTGTGTCGATGACTCATCGGAGGCTCGGCTAGGAGAGGATTTTTGCAAGAGAGGAAAGTACAAGAGCGTCCAATTGTAATTACATACTGTAGCTTTACCAGTGAAAGCATTTCCTATGTCACAGGAGGAGTACTGGAGTAGTCAGGACTGGCACCTGAGTGTTTGCCTCCAAATAGCCTTTGACAAAGCCAGTGCACCGTTCAGGAGTCTTAAAGCAGCCACACGGTCCCAGCTTTCCTGACACAAGGTGTGTTTTGGCTCTGATAAAACCGGTGGCCTTAGCAAATTGCTAAGGAGCGAGCAAGCCACTGACCTTTAACTGCCGGTCATGCCAGTGTCCCAGGGTGAGATCAGAGACCCTGATTACCACAGGGTAGATGATGGAGAAGCTGCAGTTTTGGTACTGGTGTGGGACCACCAGGGTAAACCTTCCACTCGGGCTCTGGGAGATGACATTGCAAGCTTTAGGGAGGAAAAGTTACAATTATATTATTTGGAGTGCTGATTTTGTTTTTTAAATAGAAACTCATGATGTCTTCATTCTAGATTTCAGTTCACGGTCTAGTAGATATGTCTAACCTAGGGCCCACTGACCACATGTGCCCAGGCTGGTTATAAATGAACGGGGCCAACCATATTTATTGACTACACTCTTACATCCCAACATGGAAAGGGTGGGCCTCAAGGCTCAAAGATGAAGCCGGAACCTAATGCTGTAGGAAATATTCAGCCCTAGGATTTGGAGCCATGGTGCTATTTTTTTTTTTTTTAATAATAAAGCCATAAGTCATTTTATTCTAAAAATTTCGTGGTAATGACAAAAGAAGGGAGGGAAATAGACGACTAGTACTTATTTGCTGGGCATTGAGCAATGGATTGTTGACTAAATAGTCAGTTTTTAAATCTTGGTAATCTTAAGGGTTTCTGAAATTTTTCTTTCTTCCTTTTTTTAAACTTACAACCAAGTTATTCTTCTATCTGTGAAACACAGATATGAGGTTTGCCTTTGGGATAACCTACCTCCTTATATTTTTTATATTACACTTAATTTCAGAAAGAAGTAAAATTCCTTGACAGTTCTAAAGGAATCTTCTGATTCCCCCCCCCCCCCGATTTCTTACCAAGCAGATTCCAGGAGAAATGTGTCCCTCTACAATTGTTCCCCTTTCTTCCCTCCCTCCCTCCCCTTCCTCCCCCTCCCTCCCTACCCCTCCCCCCTTCCCTTACTCTTCCTCTCTCCCCTTCCCTCCCTCCCCCTCCTTCCCTCCCAGTTTTGTGCACCCTCAGACAAGTGATGTACTTCTTAACTATATCCCAACTCCCAGGACTTTCTCTTAATGAGAAAACAAGCCGATTTGTGGACTCATTTTGCTCAAAATCGCACCCTTCCAGCTTCGGCTCTATAGCTTTACAGCATAATCTGTATGCTTCTCTATCAGATATGAAGTGTGCTAGGGTGGTGACTTTGAGGTAGAAAATAACAGAAGAAAGTGACACAGAGGCACTCTGGTCTACCCCTCTCCTCAGGGTATGACATCTGCCCACCTCGCCTCAGAAACACAACCTTCCAGCCTTTGTTTACAAAGCTCTGACATCAAATGATCCTTCAAGCTTGTCCTGCCTCTGGGGCATGGTTTGAGAGATTAAAGTTACTTACAGAATCCATTGGAATGCCTTGGGAGGGCAGAACAAGACTTTGGAGGAAAAATAAAAGTGTATGTACCACATAGTAGAGTATTGCCTAGCCTGGGAAATAAAATCAAATGGTTTGATTTTCATATTGAGGAATAAATACTTCACACACTCCTGGGTTTAAGTCTGTGAAGCAATAAGACCTGACCTTTATAAAGCAGGTGTGTCCACCTCCCGCCCCGGGACAGTCCTGCCTTTTCCTTGAGCTTACTTACGGAAGAGGTTGGGGTCTGTCTTGATGGTTAATGTGAATCCATTTCCTGGTTCGTGAACCCGGAAGAAGACCATGGCCACATTTTGGGAAGACCTGATGCTCCTTCGGGTAAGACCACTCTCGCAGAAATCTGTGTACCGCTTCATGGTGGGTAGAGGGTGATCCTGAGAACTTGGAAATTTCTCCCCCTTGAGGATCCAGCCGTCAAATACCTTCAAATGGTGATGATGACAATGATAATAGTAATAATAATAGTAATAGTACAGACATAAACAGTCACTTTGGCCAGCCTGAAGTCAGACTTTGTTGAAAAGTGGGGGAAAGTTGCCCAGCAACGAGCTTTCAGTTATGAGTGAAGGACCTACAGCCCCTACTCTCGACCCATTTGCTTTGAATGCGCAGGTTGGTTGCAAGCAATATTATCAATTTATCTTCCCCCCCATAAGCCTTTGAGCACCTCTCCTTATACTTTATCAACCAGTTTTGTGAAAGGAAATTATAGACAACGCTGATTTTTTTTTTTTTTTTGTCTTTTCCATATTCAAACGAACACTACAGGAGCGCTATTTGGATTTCACTGGACCTCAGCTTCTGTGCCTCTAGCCAGTGAAATGTAAACGACAACAAATCTCAAAAATAAATAACAACGACAACTTTCTGGATATGATGGAGGATGTTTGTAACTCCTATACTGCAGAGGCAGAGGGAGGAAGCATCATGAGTTTGTGGCCAACTTGGGATACATAGGGTGATTGTGTCAGAGTGATGTGCGCACTCGTGCACAAGCCGGGGTGGGGGGTGGGGGGTGGGGTGCAGGGGCTTCTTTACTACTCTTCACATTAAAAGAAAATTATCACCTCAAGTTACTATATAAATGTGTGTGTGTATTTGTTTTGTTTTGCTTTGCTTTTTAATGCTGCAGTCAGGTGATGCTAGCTAGCTAGCCTTGTAAGACTTCCTCATCACTTCCTAAGTTAACTTTGGGACAAAGGGTCAAAGTCAATTGATTCCACTCTCAAAATCACAGTAGGGCTCCATTTTAATGAGTGAATCCGTCATAACAACATTACCAACAACCTGGGTACAAATTATTTCCAGCAAGCTTCACAGCTTCCCAAATGGTTCTACTTTGGAAGTCCCAAGCATGGTTATTTTCTTGGGGCAGTAGAACTCCATCCATCCTGCCCTGGCTGCCCTGTGAGGATGCTGTGGAGTGGAGTGATTCTCCTCCCTTCTGACTTGTCTTAAACCACCCCTCAAGTCTCTCAGCATCCCTCCCAGGACCAGCCCTGCTACCCCCAAACCCCATCCACCAGGCTCTGAAGAGCCTCTGCACTCCTGGAAGAGCAAGGTGGGTTCAGGTCTCAGATGGCAAGAGGAGAACTCGCCGTCCAAGAGGGTCTCACAGTAGACTCAAGAGCTCCTTCTAATTGTTTCCCCATGTTTTGTCTGCCCCAGATAGCATCACAGCGACTCACGCTAAACGCTCAAGTGTTAGGAAGTTCCTAGCAGTTGGGGAGCGCACAGAAGGGAAACTAAACCACCTGCATCCAGGGGCACAGGACTCTGCAGTGTGTGGAGCCAGACCCTTCCTAGGAATCCAGCCTCCAGGGGCTCCCCCAGTGAGCTTCTGAGACCCAGGGACAAATTGGTTCAGAGTTGCCCCCAGGTGGCCGTGCTTAGGAGCACGCCGGCTGGGGTTGCGCGGAGCCGGAACCCCCTCACCTTCAGGAAGTCTCCACCCTGGCAGTCGATGGAGACCAGGTCGTAATGGATGGTGATGAACTCCTCGGGTTCCCCGATGAAGAAGACGGCGCAGTTCAGCTGCGGCCGATCGGCGGTGAATGTGAACTGACCAGGGAGGCTCAGCATGTCCAGGCAGCCTGGGGGAGAGCATGGAGCCAGGGGTCCCCAGCTGTAGGAAGTCGCTCTTAGCACGCCCCATTCGCCAGCTCCGCAGCTCGCCCCCATGCTGGAGCTCCCAGCTTAGGCTGCACTGGATTCCCTCACTTTGGCTTGGAAGGAGCCTCACGGATGCTATAACCGTGAGGTACCAGACAGCCCCTGACCCAAGATCCTGCAAGCCTGTGTCCCAGGTGCAGAGACCCAGCCTCCAGCCTCCCGCCTCCCGATGCCTACACAGTGGGGCAAGACAGCCCCGACTCACGCAGAGCCCGGCGATACGGTTGCTCCTCGGCCAGGTCCCGCTTCAGATTGGCGCCGAAGAGCAGGAAAGGGTCGTAGTCCGTGACTTCTTGCACCTGGCAAGGAAAGTAGATCGGTCCGGAAAAGTTCCGGGGAGGGAAAGAAAGTGGACCAGGAGCAGGGCGCCCTTCTTGCAGCTCAGAGAAGAGAACTGAGAGGGCGTCCGCGTCTCCCCGAGTCTGGAGAGTGAATCTTAGGCTCCTTCCATCAGATCAGGATACCCAGGCAGCCTCAGCGATCAGAGAAAAGCAGACAGTTAGGATGCTCAGGGGCAAGGAGAAAGAAAGCAAGTCTAGGAGACCCGGAGGAAAGAGGATGGATGCAACCGAGAGGAGCTTATCAGATCACTGCCTGCTGCCCCTGACTGAATACCCATGGGAAAGGTGTTAGGGGTCAAGGAAGAATGGCTCACCTCTAGGTAGCGGCTCTCTCCCCTTAGAGCTGTCAGGAGGATCAAGATGAAGTGACACTGGAGTTTGAAGTTCAGTGACATGCTGGCCTTGCCTCTGCAGCCGGTGCGCTCTGCTGCGGAGACCTTAGGCATGTCTCCCCACACCTTCACCCACGCTCAGAGCGCGAGGCTGCTAGGGTCCCTTCCCTGGGTCTCTTTTATAGAGCAGTCGAGAGGGGAGGCTCTCTGCCCCTTCGCTGATCCGAGCTTAGTTACCATGGGTTACCCTGCCTCGGTGACAAAATACGTGGCAATGACGAGGGTCCAGCTCTCAGCCACAAATATTGCAGCATGGCCCAGCATTATTCACCAAGAATGACTCCAATCATTAGAGCCTGGTGACCTGAACATTTAGGAGAGAGAATGAGGCAGGGATGGACACTAAAGGAGGCATTTTACCTGGCCTGTCAGACATCACATTATACTCGTGTGTGTGTGTGTGTGTGTGTGTGTGTGTGTGTGTGTGTATTCAGTGCATTTTCAATTTTGTAAACAAAGTGACAAAATTACACATGTGCACAAATTACGCACAGTATGACATCATCATGGGGCCTAGTCACGTAACTGTGGATGGGTTTCTGCTGTGAAAGACCAGAGAGTAGTATCGGTGCAATCCCTGTGCTTCTCCATAGGACACATGAGGTGTTTGCAACTTCAGATCTGACAGAACCTGATTTTAAAGAATATTGCAGAAATGAAATTCCAGGCCTCCTAAACTTTGCTTTATTCTGGTCCCTTAATGAAAAGCAAGAGTCTATAGACCTCCGGGTGCTAGCTGGGCTGTCCCTGACCTGGATGCATGACTGTGCACACTCCTGGACAGTTACCTGTAGCCAGGTCTTTAGCCTCACTGGGTCACTGAGCACATGTCACTCCACTCTGTGCTTCCAAACACCCGGGTCACTTTGACTCAACGGAAAAAGTGCTGAAGCCCCCAAAGTGACAAGCATGCCCAGACAAATGGGTAGGAACCCAGACAGGAGTTATGTCTAAGCTTACTGTGCAAGAAGAGCATGGCTTCTGCTTTCTGTCCAGAGCTGTGAACAATGTGGAGATGTGGAGATATCCCCTCTGGGCTTCCCCACCCTCCTTACAGTAAGCGGTAAGGACTGATAGAAAAAAAATCCAACTAAGGTTTTAGTGGAAGAAAATAGTTATATTTGTGGTTTAAAAGTACTGAAAAGTAACAGTAATCTCATGATATCAGAATTTGATGTTTTCATATTTGAGACAATATTGAGCCCTGCAAGGCTTAGGATTTTCATCTAGAGGTCTTCCTAGCCTGGTTTAATGCTATAAACAGCCCTTCGACCAGACTACAGAGCAGAGGAAACACCCGCAGGCCATGAGCACCGCCGCCATGTCCTTCTCTCCATCCTTTGCACTGCTTACGTATCTGAATTTCAGAGAGGGATACAGAACCCTGATGGGAATGCAAGGAGAGAAAAGCTAATGGTACTGTACAACATCACCTGTCTGCCTTAAAGGCATCAGCCATCTGAAGAACCATCTCCCAGTTTGTTTGCATCTAGAGGGATCCTCGGGCACATTCACCTGGAATGCCATGATCTGCCCTCCCATCCCAATAATGCAAACCAATGGTGACCTGCCTAGGGTCACCCCAACACTCACACCCAACCCAACACTGTCCTTTCTACTTTGGGAGTTTGGTGCCTGTATCACCTCAGCTCCAAGATACTCCTTACCATCATCAAGAAGATACATGGCTCTCTGACTCACCCCTTCACATACACACCCACCCTCCCAACCCTACCCCAGCCTCCACTAGCACGAAAACAATGATGTTCTCTGCATGCTTGAACACACAAAAATAAATAAATAGGCTAGTCATAGTGGCGCATGCTTTTAATTCCAGCACTAAGAAGGCAGAGGCAGGAGGATTGTGAGCTCCAGGCCACCCTCACAACTGAATTTAGGTTTCGGTTCTCTGAGAAGGGCAGGTGTCTCTCCCAACAAAGGACCATTTATCCACAATACCCTTGTATTCAGGATGAGGGAGAGAGCAAACACAAGACCTTAGTCAGCCTCTGTCTCAAGGACAAATCCAGAAGTCCCCCTCTGAGTCCAAAAATGATAAAACTAAACATCAGCCAATTATACTAATAAAAGCATACTAATATAACTGCTGTTTAACCAATCATATTTGAGATGATGTAACTGTCCCTGAAACTCCCCATAACTGTGCTTAGAAGGAGCCTGCATGCTCCTCTCCAGTTGTCACATTTTGTATAGGTGAACAACCCCACATACGCTGGTATAATGAACGCTCTTGGCTCTTACATACTATTTGAACCTGGGATCTTCCTTCAACGTTTCCCCAGGCCCTACAGGTGCACAGTGATGCCTTGTCTCAAACAAAGAGAGAGATGGCATGGGAGGGGGGTGGATAAAAGATGGAAGGGAAAGGGAGGGAGGGAGGGAGGGAGGAAGGGAGGGAGGACATTGTTTGACTTGGGTGCTATTGGTTTTTTGTGACAAGAAAATGATATGAGTTTCACTTCTTAGCAGGCATTTCAGCACAGGGCAGTCCCGATCATAGGGAGGGTGCTATCTAGCTGATTTCTGCAGCTTACCATCCCAAAGATCTGGGACTTCACGTGTGTAAATGAACAATTCCACCCACCACTCGACCCCTGGCAGCCATTGCTCTACCCTTGGCTGCTAAGAGGTGGATATTTCAGACACTTCATATATGCAGAATCCTCAACACTCTAAAGGGTTGGGATCACAGAGTTCCCAACTAGCTTGGGATACATAGAGGTAGTGGTGCACTGAGGAGGCAGAGGCTGATGGATCTCTATCAGTTCCAGGCCAGTCTGGAATACACTGTGAGTGAGTTCCAGGACAGCAAGGGCTATGTAGAGAGATCCTGTCTTAAAAAGAAAACAACAAACAAACAAAAAAGCCCACCAGAATTCTGCAGTATTTGTCATCTCTGACTGGCTTATTTCATTAAGCACACTTCCCTTGAGGTTTATCTAGACTCAGTATACAATGCTTTCTTTGATAACAGCCATCTCAACACACAACAGGGGTAAAGTCATGGCTCACTGTGTTTTTTATCACCTTGATAGTGATGTCCGTCATCTTTTTGCATAATCATTGGTCATTGATGTGTATTCTTTGTAGAAATGTCTCTTCTAGTTCCAGGACTGAGCTGGGTGCACAGGTCTTTAGTCCCAGTGTCCAGAAGTCAAAACAGCTGATATTCCAGTCTGAGGTCAGCCTGGTCCTCAGAGCAAGTTCCGGGACAGCCAAAGCTACACCCTGTCTCAGAAAGATAACAACAAAATCCAGAGCCTATTGGACAATAAAGTTAGGGTTTGTTCTGCCTTGTAAAGTTTCTCACACATTGTGGAAATCACCACATTATTAGAAGAATGGTTGTATTTTTTGGCATCTAATGGTTTACCTTTTCATGATATTGATTTATTCACTTGTTATGCAGAAACTTTTTTAATTTGATGTGACACCCATGGCTTACTTTTGCTTTTGTTGACTGGTTTTTTTGTTTTGTTTTGTTTTGTTCTTTGTTTTTTTGCCACAGCTATGAAATCATTGTAAACATCATACTGTAAATTGTTTTGCCATTTTTCAGGTAGTTTTACAGCATAGGGTCTTCCCTTTAAGTCATTAGTCCATTTTGAGTTTATTTTTGTGAATGATGTAACATAAGGTTCCAAGTTCGTTCTTGTGCATGTGGACATCTACTTTTCCAGAGAGCATCAATTACCAATGCCAGGTCCTTTACTCATTGCACATTCTCAGCACACCTCGTTCAAGTTGAGTGCATCTGAATATATGAGTCTACTCCTGGGCTTGCTGTCCCTCTCGATGGGCCTTTGTATCTGTCCTCATGCCAGTACTGCAGCTGACAACTGCAGCTTTGAATTTCGAAGTCAATGAATCTGGTGCCTCCTGCTTTTTGTTTTTCTCAAGGGTTTTGTTTTTGTTTATTTGAGTTTCCATATTAATTTTAGAATTGTTTTTGCATTTTTACCAAAACAGATTTTAATATTTTAGTGTAACTGCTTATAATCGATAAGATTATTTTTGGAGGTATTTAAGATCAGGAATCAGTGTGAGTCAGACTTTGGATGACGTCCTCATGTTTCAGTGACTTTCAACCCACAGGAAGATCTGCAGTTAAGAGAAGCTAAAATTTTGGGGAGTGATTGATGATAAACAAGCATCAGCCCAAAGTGTAATCTATTTTCAAGATGTGAGGATGTCTTCAGAATTCATGGGGAAAAAAGAAAAAACTGAAAGCAGGCACTCAAATGCCACTCCCCTGTCTCTCAGAAGGCTGACGTCCCCCGTGTGCAATTACTGGGGTTTCACATAAGTCACCAACAGTTCCATGTCACCTTCAGACAGATGAAAATACCTCAAACATATGCTCTTGAAACCTCACCTACAAATCCGTGCGAGGAGGCCAGAGGACAGAGCAGGACTCTGTCATAACAAGGCTGGCCCCCTGAGAAAAAGGGAGAAACAGTTTCTAGAAACCTGCAAGTTATAGGTAACTGTCAGGAATTACTGCTTTAAAATAGAGCCATATTTAAGCTAGTTTATCTTCCATTCACAGTAGGAAACATTAGAGTCTAGCTATAATATCCATGCATTTCTGTTATATACTAGAGAGCACTGTGCTATTTTTCTAGATAACAGACTGTATAACAGCAGCATTTCAGTAACCGCACAAGACCAAAACAAAACAAAACCCACATAGGTTCAATGAGGTCTTTGATCATAATCTTTCTTATCTATGAAATAGTGGTATATGCTAAAAATTATTGCAGGTATCAAATAGTGTAAATAATACAGATAGAATAGATGTAAATGGTTGCTGTTATTAAATTACCAATCCTATCCTATGCCTTCATAACTAGGGTTTCAATTCTAATGGTAATAGTTTTGTAAGAGGCATACATGGGATGTGTTTTCACATCATTATTAAATTAGAATGAATGGCTTCATATTAGAACATTAACTGACTTTAAAAGCCATGGCTAGAAAATGAGAGGACTAGATTAGAATCTAATTGCATTTCAAAAGCTGAGCTAAGAATGGGTCCCATTAAATATTATGTGCATAATGGAGGAGGGCTGATCTCATCCGAGAAAGAGATGAGATGCAGAGTGGTATAAAACTGAGAAGATGGAGGAATGGGAGAAGTTGACGTTACA